CTAAACCCATCTCACGAAGGCTAGTGCAAGACCCTGAAGTCCATGAACCTAATGTTGACAAAGTCGAGTGTGATTTGGTTGGACACTTGAAGACTTCTGACCTGAGGTCTCACCAACCCATCCAAACTTCTCTCTCGTCGTTTGTTCCCCCGCTTCTTGATACCAACCCCTCTCAAGTCATACAAATAGTCGAGACGACTACTACACCTCACACCACTGAGACCCCCGTTGAAGTAGGGATGACAATGGGGTCAATGACTTTTGGTCAGGAAGCAGAAGCATTCGAAGTTGGGATCTCCGATCTCCCGATGGCCGATGAAGTTGGGGTCGAAGAAGAAGCTCCCGAAGTATTAGAAGATGGTGGACAAGCTACGGCTGATGATCTAGAAGAGATAAATCTAAGCGATGACACCGACCCAAGGCCGACCTTCATTTCAGCTATCATGTCACCAGAAGACAAGAAGGAGTATGCCAATTTCTTACAAGCAAATCGAGATGTCTTTGCTTGACACTATCATGAGATGCCCGGTCTTAACCCTCAGGTTACAGTCCATCGACTTGCCATTGATCCTTCCTTTAAGCATATGAAGTAGAAATCGAGGAGGTTTCGACCTGATTTTGAAATACAGATTGATGCTGAGTTGGATAGGCTCAAGGGAGCAAGCTTTATTCGAGAAGTCAAATATCCAAAATGGTTGGCCAATGTCGTGCCAGTCAAGAAGAAGAATGGGCAAATCAAGGTATGCATTGACTTTCACGATTTGAACGCCGCGTTCCCGAAAGATGATTTTTCACTCCCCTTCATCGAGATGCTCATTGATTCCACAACTCATTGTCAAGCCTTTTCTTTAATGGACGGGTATTCAGGATATAATCAAGTAAGGATGGCGCCTGAAGATCAGGAGGCTACGACATTCTTGACTCCGAAGGGGGTTTTCTATTAGGCAATGATGCCCTTCGGACTAAAGAACACAGGTGTCATGTACCAGCGAGCCATAACTACTATCTTTGATGATATGTTGCATAGTGAATTAGAATGTTACGTTGATGATCTGGTGGTAAAATCAAGAGAGAGGGAGACCCACATCCGAGACCTCAAATGGGTGCTCAAACAGCTTCGTCTTCATCAGTTTAAAATGAACCCCTAAAGTGTACCTTCGGCGTACAATGGGGAAAGTTTATAGGATTAATTGTCAGGTATCGAGGGTTGGAGATTGAACCTATTAAGAATAAAGAAATTCAAGAAATTTCGCCACCAACAAATCTCTGAGAGCTTAGGTCTCTTCAAGGAAAGCTTACCTACATCAGGAGATTCATTGCCAATCTATCAGGACGTTGCAAGCCCTTCACACACCTGTTAAAGAAGGGTATTCCCTTCGAGTAGGATGAAGCATGTCAATTAGCCCTAGAGGATATCAAGACTTATTTGCTAAACCCCCAAGTGATTTCTACTCCTCTACTAGAGAAGCCCCTCATCTTATACGTGACCGCACTCGATGAGTCACTTGGTGCACTCTTAACACATCATAATGAAGAAAGGAAGGAAACTTCTTTATACTACCTCAGTCGTAGGATGCAACGAGGTGAGAAGAATTATCCCCAGATCGAGAAGATGTGCTTGGCCCTAATTTTTGCAATTCAAAAGCTCCATCATTGTTTGCTTGCCCACAAAATCCAGCATTTCACGAGCTGACCCGATTAAGTTCCTCATGGTGCGCCCCTACTTGTCAGGCCATTTGGAAAAATGGTCACTGCTATTGATGGAATTTGACATCACTTAAAGGCCAAGCTCTCGCCAACTTTTTAGCTATGCACCCTCTGCTGTCGGAATCCCCCATGTCTAATGACCTCCTTGATGAAGAGGTATTCTATGTAGATGAACCATATAATTGGAAGATGTATTTTAATGGAGCTTTCCAATCGGAACTAGGTGGCGCTGGTGTGGTGCTGTTTACCCCTCAAGAAGGCATCATCCCCTTGTTCTTCTCTCTTACAAAGGTTAGCTCGCATAATGAGGCAGAATACCAGACACTCATAATACGCCTCGAGATCACTGCTAACTTGAACTTGGAGCGATTAACTATCTTCGGCAATTCGGAGTTGGTGATACGGCAGCTTAAGGGAATATATGATGTGAGAAAAGACAGCCTTAAACCATATCATAAACCTGCCAAGACCTTGATGACACGACTTGATGACTTTTCTCTAGGACATGTGCCTCGAAGATTGAACTCATAAGCTAATGCCCTTGCCAAACTCGATACGACCATACAAATCTCTTCAGGTGAAACTACGCCTATATGGGCAGCGGAATGGAGACATATTGAGCTGATGGAGGAAGTTGATGCAGATGATGAAAGGATCCTTTTTCCAGAATGCCCACCTTATCCATTCGGGGCACTTTTCGTCGCTAAAGAAGCCATCAAAGTTGAGAAAAGCATCGAACAAGTCCCAGTCCCTCAGCTTGAGGAACAAAAAGTGGAATTCTTTGACCCAATATACACATAAATTTAACAAGCTAAAGATTGAAGGGAGCCCATAATCAATTTTGTCAAGCATGGTCGACTTCCATATGACCGTATTGCGAGCAATAACATATGAAGGATATCCACAAGGTAGACTCTACTCGAATTAGATGTTCTCTTCTGGCGCTCTTTCGATGGCATCCTCCTTAGGTGCATCGATATGAGAGAATCAGAGCAAGTGCTTGAGCTTGTGCATGCGTGGATTTGTGGGCTCCATCAATCTGGCCACAAGCTCTATGAGAAGACCCGAAGGTTGGGATATTATTGGTCATCCATGGTCACAGATTCTTTGGCTTATGCCAAAAGATGCCAAGTATGCCAAATGCGCGCCAACTTCATCCATCAAGATCCAGAACCTCTCCACCCCACAATGGCGTCGTGGCCCTTCTCACATTGGGGCATGGACATTGTAGGACCTATTGACCCGCCTTCAGCTTCGAGGCACATCTTTATTCCAGCTGCTACAGACCTCTTCTCTAAGTGGGCTAAAACAATTCCTCTCAGGCAAGTCCCCGGAATGGCGATAGCTAATTTTGTTCGACACCACATCATTTATTGGTTTGGCGTCCCTGATCGGATTACATCAGACAATGGTCCTTAGTTTTAGAGCCAATACATCGACCGCTTGGTCAACCATTTTGGCTTTGAATCGAACAACCTTTGAGCTAATGGCTTGACCGAAGCCTTCAATAAGACCCTTTGCGATGTCTTAGGGAAGTCGGTCTCAAAAACAAAGAATAACTAGCATGAGAAACTTCCTGAGGTCTTATGGGCTTACCACACCACCACGAGGAACACAAGCAACTCAAAGACAAAACGTTCATGATGACAGCGTTGGACTTCAAGATACAATTGCATCTCAACTGTGGCAAGCATATGCCAATCGCTAAGTTTCTTTGTTTCTATAGCATATGTGAATTGCTAAGTTCGCCGAAATGCAGTTACTTGACCATGTATGTTCTATAGTCTTAGAATTCAGTTATTTGACCATGTATGTTCTTTTTTTATATGAACTGTATGTTGTGGCAGCTTTTCCACTTCCAACCATCTTTATTCAAGTTATGTGCATGTTGCCACTAAGTATACGTGGTTTTTTAATGGGTTTATGCTTCTTTCAAATGCTTTAATGTTTTAATATCAATAGCAATATCATGCAATTCAAGTCTATGCAATTTCATATTTGGTTTGCCATTATTGTCTTTCATCTATCTGGAAAATGGGCCGCAAAATTACTACGTCATCTTTAAGGGCAATCAGCCAGGGGTATATGACTCTTGGGCCGAGTGAGAGCGTTAAATATTTCAGAAACTTGGAGTTCAAGGGTTACGAAACAATGGAGGAAACGGAAGCAGCATATAATCTTCGCAATATGCCATAAAGATCAAGCATATGTAATTGCATTACCCAACAACATTTTCATGGGTACGAGAGGGATCAATTTGGGCCAAGCACCAATGCAATAGTTAATCACGATAACTATTGCATGTGCAAAATCTTTGCTTTTATGGTATATGGAAGCGACGATGTTTTACCTCTTGAAGTCCAACTCCCTTCACTTCGCATTATCATATATCATGGCATAACCAAAGATGAGCAAGTCAAGCTTCATTATCAAGAGCTGGATGCGCTTGACGAGAAGAGGTTCGAAGCTCAACAAAACCTAGAGATCTATCGGGGCATAATGCGATGAGCATTTGACAAAACAGTGAAGATACAATCGTTCACCTGTGGCGAATTGGTCTTGGCAGTGCGGAGACCCATCACCATGCATGGGCAGCCTAAACGGAAGTTCGAACCAAAATGGACAGGGCCATTTGTGATTAAGAAGGCTTTCCCTAATGGAGCGTATGTATTGGCTCAATTTGATGGAAAGGAAGCCATGCCTCCTATCAACGGTCACTATCTGAATAAGTACTATCCCTAACATATGGTCTTGGATGTGAGACCTTAAAACATGCCCTCAGGTCTTAATGTACGACCTTAAAACACACTACTATTACGGTCCCGGCGGTGTGACCTTAAAATTGCCTCCTCAAAAGACGGACATGATGAAAACCCGAAAGGGTGTCATAGGTAAGAAAGTAGAAAGAAAAAAAAAATATGATGGGACACAATAGCACTATTAGCTATCGTGAGTAAAATACGTTAAAAAGAAAATAAAAATTAAAAAATCGGGCATGATGAAAACCCGAAAAGGCATCATGAGCAAAAAATGAAAAAATGGTAGACATTGTGTAAAAACCATGGGCAAAGTGCCACAAAAAAATCTCTCACGAGGTTTTGCAAAAATCAGAAATGGTGCATACCCTAAAGGCCTAAACGAAAACCTGAAAGGGCGTTTAAGTCAAATGCCTATGGAAGGTGGACATGTCCACAAAAGAGACTCTCAAATAGCTCATCATTCTCAAAGGGATCGCAACCAGAAGTAAGAACGTGCACGTCACGGAAAAAAGAAAAAGAAAAAAAGGGGGAGACTTGAAACAAGAAGAAAAAGGCTTTCATTCCATCGCAAAGTAGCGGTTACAAGCTGAAGGCTCACAATCTCAAAGCCCATTTCTAAGGAACAAACATGCACAATAAGAAAGGAACCAAACAAAACTAAACAAAGGCTAGAGTCTTGATCAGCACTGGCGGCGAGGGCAAAAGTAGGCAAGGATGATCCGCCAATCACTCCTTGTGGGCACCGATCCCGACGGATACGGGTTGCCTAATTGCCAGCCTATCCTGCAGTTCGGCTGCCTTGAGAAAGACTGCTTGCCTTGCTAACAAAGGGAAGGCGCCAGACTCCAACTTAGTCAGTGGGGAGTCACCCATTTCCTCACGGACCTGGGACAATAAAGCCTCTGTCTGGGTAATAAGACGTCGGAGAACGAGCATACCAGCCTCGTTGTCTCGTAGTGAAATCCCCGCAAGAGCAGCGTACTCTCCTTCCTTCAATGAATGGCCCTCGAGAGTCAGATGAAAGCCTTCCCGATATGCTGGATCACTCTTCAACTTCTCCAAAAGACCTTCGGCATAACCAAAGATCGAGGGTTGATCTGAGTAAAAGTCAAGTAAGGGACCGATGGATGGATAAAGTACTGGCGAAATTAGCCCTTCCAGCTTCAGGATCTCCCACGCTATTTGAGACAGTTCCTCCATAATTCCCTTGCGTTTGTAAGCCTCGGGTACCTTGAAGCCATCTAATTCGCCGAAGCCATCTAATTCGCCGCAGTCCTCTCCAAGAGCCCAGGAAGTTGTATCAACTCCTCAAGGGAAGACCTGCCTATGAGACGATGAACAGCCCTCCAGAGCTCCTTCCCATACTCCATGAAGCCGATCTTGGCACTCAGGTAGTCCAGCCCTCTATCTGCAAGGAAAAAGGGATCCTTAACTGCTCCGGAACAATACCCCAGGAGCAAACCAAGCAAGGGTAAAAAGCACCCAACCGGAATGGGGGAGCGGACTAACTTCGCCCTTCAACTGAGGTGGTTGAGATGAAGACGATGGCTCATCCGGATTGATTGCAGTCATGTCAGCAGTGCATCTTCAATCATTGCCACAGGGGACTCGTCAACTTCAATGACAATTGCATCCTCTACGGTATTATTTCCCGCTGGGCTCTTCATTTTTGGACTCCAAGGGTCCTGGCCGCTCGACAGGTGGACATTCGGTGAGGCACATCATCTGAAATAAACCAGGAGAATAAAGTCAAGGGTGCACAAAAATTCAAAGAAGAGTCCAAAGAAAAGAAGATACAAGGCCTGGGGAAAATTCGGCAGCATATCCCTTATAAACTAGACTTTTGACGAAAAAGGCGCCCAAAAGAGTCAAGGTGCCCCGGAAGATGCCCAGGGAACTGAACTGTGCGACGCATCCGATCCAGACGAACCTCGGCAGAGCCCCCTTATAATCAGGTGAAATCCATGCAAAATGCCTAAAATCTAAGATACTTAAAAGGCATTGAAAATGCTTAAAAAGTGCTTAAAAAGCTTGAAATGCTTAGAAAGTGCAAAAAAGAAAAAAAAAGTGCCAAAATCCCAAAAAGGCATTGTAAAAACTCAAAAAGCCTTTTAAATGTGCAAGAAGCGCTAAAAATGCTTAAAAGGCACAAGTGCTAATCAAGTGCTAGAATGCACAAAAAGAATCTTTTAAGTGCTAGGAAAATGGCATTTAATTATGCTAAGATAAGCACCAAAAAAAGCATGGAAACCATTGAAAGAAAGCATGAAGAAGGGAAGAAAGCTCACCAAACTCTAGGGTGCCAGACATCCCAGCCATCGGCTTGAAAAAAATGCGTGCTGTGAAGTCCCATGACCACCTGCACTCCACGCCCCTCCTTGAACACCTGCGCTCCACGCCCCTCCTGCTCTCACTATTTTCCCTCTGCAATACTTTGAAATCACTAAAAGTGACTCAAATGAGGGCCCCTTACACCCTTATATACTCCCTCCAAAAACGCCTTCCGATAACCACCCCTCACAAACCCTTATTTCACCCACGTCCATGATGGTTTTTGGGTCATTTACAAAAACGTGAAGGGATATTATAGGGAAGCAATAAGGGAAAAGACTTAAATGCCCTTGAATCCTTCTTTAAAAAAAAATCAGGGGTAAAACGGTCAATAAGAGGTCAAATACCGCCAGAATCGTGCGAAACCAGCCGTAGGGCGTGCAGAAAAATTTGCCGGACAGGAAGGGCTGCATCTGCCGACCGAAGCGGGTCTCTGGGTCGGGCCTTTGTATGTATGTAGGGCCCAACTGACCCATTTTCTCTCTCCTCCGTTCTTGTGCATGCAACAGGGCCGGGTTGGGACGTAGCCCGAGCCAGAGGACCTCTGCAGCCGCCGCCCACGCCCATCGTCATGCAGTTGAGCCGAACTGGGCCGTGAGTCCGTGCTCGAGCCGGAGCCTGAGGCCCCCGCAGCCACCACGCTTGCTCTTTGTCACACAACTAGGCCAGGCTGGGCCGTGAGCCCAAGCCCGATCCTGATGCCCTCCGCAGCAGCGGCCCATGCCCTTTGTCACGCAGCTGGGCCGAGAGCGTGAGCCCGAGGTTCTTCACAGGCGCCACCCGAGCCCGAGGTCCTTCACAGCCGCCACCCCTCCGCAGCCGCACTCTCATGTGCGTCAACCGCACGCGCCCCTCACGCGGGCCCCTTTCACTCGCGCACCCCTCTCACTAGCGCGCTCCACTCACGTGCATGTGCTTTTCTCACCTTCTCGCAGACATGCGTGCGGCCCACTTTCGCACGCTTGCTCACACCCCTTTTCACGCGCGATCATGTGCGCACTATTCTCTTACACGTGGTTTAATCCCTCTCTCTTTCCCACACGCGTGCTCTCACCCTCTCACAAGCAAGTTTACGCATGCATCACCGTTCACGCATATCGAAACCTCTCCCTTCTCTCCTAATTCCTGTTCCTCTCGCCTCTTCGCGCACTCGCACCGGCATTCCTGCTCTGGTTTAGGCATGCGATTCTCCTATTTCGCACGCACAACTTTCCCTTTTTGTGGCATGTATGTCCACCACTGCCATCATCACCATCCCATTCATCCTTCATAAAGGCCCATTCCATTCCCCCATCGCTCTCCACTCACCATCCTCGATGGGTCCACCTCAGCATTCACCATCCCCAGTGAGTCGCGTCACTCATGCCCTCCGCTGCGAGCGAGTCAAACCATTACGTGCTCACTCCATTCATTTCACAATAACTCACTCCATTCCCCCCCATTGAGTCGTGCCATTCTCCATCAACTCTCCATCATGCATGTAGACCCATTCCATTCCCCAGTGAGACACACCACCTTCAAACCACTGTCACCTCATCATCCCCCTCATCATGCCTGAAAATTCGCTATCCCCCAATGAATTACCCTAATCATCCAAAAGCTTGTTCAAACCTCGGGCAAGCAAGCAGCACCCTCTATTGCAACTTCATTCATCCTCCTCAAAAGTCCCAATCATTACCCCAGTGAGTCGCACATTCCGCAATCACCCTCTCATCCCTCATAAAAACTTGCGCCATTCCCCAGTGGGTCACATCGTCTACCACTCTGCTTTACCGGTGGGTCAAACCACCCCAATTTTTCATCTTCATCTAAAAAACCACCGTTAACTTCCATTATCATCTAAACACCACCAATTCACTGCCATTTATATATATAATAAAAAATAAAAATGAGCGGACATAGTCATGAAACCATGGGTAAAAGTGCTCAAAAGAAAAAAAATGGGCATGGTGAAAACCTGAAAGGACATCGTGAGTAAAAATGGCAGACGGGCATGGTCATGAAATCATGGGTAAGAGCATGCCCCACCGAACGTTGTGCTTCGAGAGAAGAGAGAAGGGCAACATTCGGAATCAAAATTGGTCCTTCAGCTTTCATTTTTCTTCTCGGCCACCAGATTTAGCATGACCGGCAAACCCATTGGCATCTGGACTTTGGGGGAGAAGAAATGTGAACTACTGGTGGGGGCCTTGCGTAAGGACTTTCTTCCCACTTTAGGGGTCTTTTTCTTTTGATTCTTGCTTAAGGGCTTGTAGATCCAATTAGTCAAATTTGAGATTTGTATGGCAGTCGGGGGCCTTGCTTAATGGTTTCCTTGCCAATCGTCAAGCTTTTAGTCTTTTGGTGGGGGCATTGCTTAAGGGCTTTCTTCCCACTTCAAGAGATGGTTTCTTTTCAATTCTTCTGGTGGGGGCCTTGATTAAGGTCTTTCTTCCCACTTCAGGAGATGGTTTCTTCTTGATCTTTTGCTAGGAGCCTTACTTAAGGGCTTTCTTCCCACTTCAGAAGATGGGTCCTTTGGATAAACAGTCGAGGGCCCTTTGGGGCGTATGAGCTGCTACGCCAGGGTTTGGAAGTTGTTACACAGGTGGGGTGCCTCTTTGGGCCCGAGCCTACTAGATTCAGTCAGGGCGTTTTTGTTGGCCATCCTGAAAAGTTTGGACCATCAATAGGGGGGCTTAGGTGAGGCAGTCTCTTTGGGGCTTGAAACCCCAGTCTTACCATATCTAGTCAGGGGGTTTTGTTGGCCATCCCGAAAATCTAGATCATCAACAACTGAGAACCTTAAAGAGGCTGCTACCTTGAATATTGGTGGAGGTATTGGTCTGGCTTGACAGTCAATTACCTTTTGGAAGCATCATCGACTTGTCGGCAAGACTTTCTTGTTTTTGGTGGCCTCTGGGGAATGAATTCTTTTAGCATGGAGTTCCGGCTTGCCATTTTGTTGATTTTTTTCTAACTTTTGGGTTCTTCTCATGGATTGTCCCAAGTTGTTGGGATTTTCCTTAAGCTCTTTGTGGTTCCAGTAGTGGGGTACCCTTTGAGGGGTACTGATTCCCAAACTACCAGGCTTTCTTGTCTGGATTACTGGCTGGAGCCGCCTGTAAAGGTGAGCGTTGTACCAACCTGCTTATTGGTTCAAATGCTCTTTCAGATTTTCACCTGAAAAGAGGGGGAAGCAGTGCCGTAGAACGGTTTTCACCGACTTCCGTCTTTTATTTGGGCTTTTTTACCCGTGACTTCATGGTCACGTCAGCCTTTCTTTCCATTTTTACTCACGGTGCCCTTTTGGGTTTTCACTTTGCCCTGCTTTTTCTTTGTTTAAGGTATTTTTCAATACTTGTATCCCCGAGGTGAATAAGAAGAGAGCCTATCAAGACCTAGGCCCACAGGTTCCAAAATGCCCGTGGATCGTGGAAGCACTATTGAAATAAATCCTGATCTAGAGCACATGATCAAAAGACAATAGATTGGCCCCAAAAAGCATATAGAGGTAGCCCACGACTCCTTAAGAACACCCGTCAAGTTTCGTCGCAATATGGCGACGATAAGGTGGATCAAAGTCAAAATCGATTTTTAAATTCTGCCTCAAATATGCTAAAAATGCACCTTATAACTATAGCCCCATTATCGGAGTTTTAGACAAGCACTAGACAACTTTCATTAGATTCAGAAGGTCCAAAAACCCCCAGATGTCAAATTTCGGCTCATTTTGACGCTTTTGGACTATTTTGTGGCTAACTTACCCAAAATGGTGGGTTATACACTATTCTGGTGCACCCTTAGTGAACCAGTGAAATGTGATTTAGGGATCACCTTTGAAGGATCATAACTTCTTCATCTTAAGGAAAATCAAGCTCAAATTTCACGATGACCTTCGTCTTGTTGATGCGCATATTTTGATATATGGAATGACCCATGACGCGGCCCGAGATGGGAGAAATCATAGAGAGAAACCACTTAAAAAAACTCATGTGTTACAGATTTTTAAGAAAAGAAGACCCATTCGATCAAAATGGCCACATCATGAAACCCCGATATCGGACCGACTTGAAACTGGGTCCGTCACGACCACGAGGTGAAGGGCTTTGATTCAAGCTAAGCATCACATATGATGAATAACCCGAACGACTGTATTTTAAGGTAGCAAAAGAGGCATTTTTCGGTGATCGAAATCCAAATTTCGGCAAGTTCCCCAATTCGACAAGTGGTGATTCGGATACAAAATCGAGCCATTCTCGTTACCAAACGATCATAATGACTTCCTCATCGTCGATAAAAATATTGATAGAAAACAGCAATGAATGGCCAAGATCCGAGATCCAAGATCGCACATTTTTCATCTTTTGACAAATCTTGCCGAGAGCCCGATACTTCTATTCGAGGATCAAAAGATACATCAAAACGATCACCTCGCCGAGATCGTCATAATTGCGGCATTATTTTCATCGAAAATTCGCCAGAAAGGCCCGAAATGAACCCCGAAAGATCATCATGGTTCATGGCCACTTTTTAGGGACCATCTTGTCATTTGGAAGATTGTGGGTCGGGGCAAAATGGTCATTTTGCCCCAAAAACGGGATTCAATTTTAATTCATAAAAATTGTATTTCCCAGCAATTTTAGTTAGTTTTGAGTATCCACCATTATTTCAAGGGGAGCTCTATATAAGCATTTGTAACCCTAAGTTCAAAAAAGGTGAAATTAAAGAGATTTTCCCTCTTAATCTTAAGGTTTTCAATTTAAATTTCTTTCGGTTTGAAATACTTTTCTCTATCTCTTATATTCAAATAGAGGAGAGAGAAAACATTCCCCATAAGCCACTACCCTTGGAACTTCTCACTCCTCCCTTGGAATCTCTCACTTCTCACTTGGAACTCTCAACTCTCGACCTAGCCGTCGGTCCGACTAGGTACTTTTCTCTTCTCTTTCTCTGTCTTCTCTCTGTCTTCTCTCCTTTTCTCACTCTATCTCTTCATGGTCAATTATATCGACAGTAAGCCGCCAGCCCACCTTCTCCTCTCTCTTTCTCTCTCCTCCTCTTCTCTCTCTCCTATTTTCTCTCCCTATTTTTCTCTCTCATCTCCCTCTCCTCCCTTTCTCTTTGATCTTCTTCTCTGT